TTTTTTGTGTCTGTTACCACTTTTTCTCAGCCCTCACCGAACCGATTTCTTTCAATGATACGTCAAAAGATCACAAAACTGCCGTAACTTTTTTAAAAATAAACATATCAATATAATTCTTTTTTATATAGATGCATAATATCATTACCTTTATTTTGGTATATTTTTTTCATAAATTTAACCTTTAACCTGCCCACAAGGGGGGATTTAAAATGACAACTTTTTTACAAAAAATTAACTTTTTCAACTTAACTTTTTTATTATTTTTTAATAATCTCTTTTTCATTTGATATACTTTATCTTAATCAGGATATTAATAAGGAACTAGCAGATCATGTAGCTTTTGGAATAATTCACCAATTTTTTAAAATTAAACACTATCTAAAGATTTGCATCGAAGCGTTTTTTTTTGATAGTGATTTTAATCACTGTCAGATATCATTATACTTGATCCATCTATGCCACGTCACCACTGTGCCGCGACACCCCTGTGCTGGGTTTTTCTGAACAATATTTGTAAATATTTTAGTAGTGCTAAAGATTGATATGACTAATATATTAATAAATATTTAATTGCACCAACTTTAATTACCTTCTTAAGTTGACCCATTTGACAGTATTAATTAGCTCAAGCTATTTTATTATATCAAAGTTGTATAGACGTATTTAAATTAACAGATGATTACTGAAATTTTAGTAATTTAAAAAAGGAATTGTTTGGTTTTCCTTGGCTAACCCCCAAGGTTATTATCAATCGGGTCTATTAGGGATTAACAAGAAAAAATGTTTTAAATTCTTCAAGTTAAAGATTTTTTAAGTGGTTTTATTGTTTTTAAACATGTTTCAGATGACGATTTAAATGATTCTTTATCTTCATGTAATTCTTCAACAAATACTACCTCTGATATTGATCATGTTGAACAAATTAAAGTTTGCTGTATATTAGATTCTGTAAGTTCATTAATGTTAGTTCATCGGAATACGTTTATTGAAGAAAAAAATCATAAACAAATGATTGAAATTCAAGATTCGTGTACATCTTGTCTTATAAAAGTTCTGAAAATATTTAAGGTATTTATGTAAGACTTTTATAGATTGTATTTAACACATTTTTAAATTTAGCATAAATATTTTATTTTTATAGTCCCATACCCTGTTAATAATTTTTGATAATAGACCCGACAGGAAGCTTTTCTACCATATAAATCTTTTCCTCCCCCTTTCTTTCTCTATCCTATAATTAGATTCATTTAGGGGGTTACAAATTTTTCCATATCTTATGCAAACTACATTATCGGTTTATACTAATACAACTTTTAAGTAATGTAATATTTATATTGTAATATATTTAGGATGGTGATGCTTACTTTAGTGCAATGCATTTATCAAGTTTAATACCAGTTTCTAAATTGACTGCTCATGTTTCTGCACCAAGTGCTGCATTATCTACATTAAAACAATTACCACATGATATGAAACACAGTGAAGAAGAGATTGATATGCGAAAAGTTAATTGTTTAGTATATACTTTGTGTATGTGGAAAAGAGGTTATGAAATATTACAATTTGTGAATATCTGGTTTGATGAAGCATTTAAGACTATGGACCTCAATGAAACGCAGTACCCAGTACGACTTTGAAAGTCACACATTTTTCCATAATTATATAAAAACATATGTCTTTTAGGAATCAATGTCTAAAGAAAGAAGGAGAGTAAGATTTAAAACTGATGTTAAAGAATGTAAACCTATGACTGGTATACTTCTGATAAACTCTATGCTCAATAATATGCAAACTCAAAATACTCTTGTGAGCTCAGATGTTAATAAAAAGAATATTAATGATCTTTTTATATATTTACAGCGATCAAAGGTATTATATTAGTTAATCTATAAAAATAAAACATTGATAAGTGTTTTTTTTATGTTATTTAAAATTAGCTTGCTATTGAAAAAAGAATTCTGTTAAATAAAGTACTTGATAATCATCTGCTTACTGATGAAGTGTTAATAGAATTATTTCAATTACATTTAAGATTACATATAGTTTTTGAAAGTCATGAAAAAAATACAGAGAATATTCATAAATATTTATCATCAATATTTGATTGGATTAAAGAGTAAGTTAAAAATAAAATTTTTAATTTTTAATTACTAATTATATTTTTATTCATTTTAGCATTTTACTTAATGATAATCTATACAACAAAAATGATGAAACCTTGTCATTTGTTGCTACTATTGTTGATGGCTTACATTTTTCTGTATTGAATATATGTTTAATGGCTCTTATAAATAATGACTTTTTGGATAACTATTTTTTGTTCTGTGCTACTATTTTAAATAGTAAGTATGACAAATCTATTTTTAATTGTTATAAAGTAATATAATACTGAAAATATTTAACACTTGAATTTTGAATAGGTTTCTTAGCTCCTCGGATTTTGATATCAAATATTGGGACATTAGCAATCATTTCTAAATATTACAACTATATTAAATCTTTAGATAATGTCCATGTTTTTGAAACAATTGCCTTAACTAACTGTACTACTAGTATATTATCAATTTTAAGTGAATCTAAGTATACTGAAGAACGATTTAACAATGTTATTGGAGTAAGCTATATTTTTCCTTTTTCAATTATTATTGAAAGTACAGAATTGAATATAATGAAATTTTAATTTTTGTTTTCCTAATCTGATAAAAATATTATTCAAAAACTTCTTATATAATTAATTAAATCTTTTAATTTAAATTTAAAAATGTTATGTAAACTTATTAATCGAAGTGCATTAATAAATATTATTTTTTATATTTTTAATGTTTCATGTTTTAGAATCCATCTACTTTTCGCCGAGAGTTAAACTCATTATTTTTAGGAGTTTTTAAAATCAGTGCAGAAAATTTTAAACAAATTTTTATTTTCTTGATTGAAACTATAGTGCAAATTATTTCTATTCAAATTCGAGAAGTAAGTTTAAATTGTATAAATATAAAAATGTCTTTTCATTGATGTATAATTCATATTTATAATCACTTTTAGATTGATCACATAGATTTAAATGAGCAGTTAACAGAGTTACCATTTGCAGCATATCAATTAGCATTTGTTATTTTGAACAATTTGTTGTTTAGAAAATATTTTTCATCAAATGCTGTTGAAATTTTTTCTTCAAGTATCTACAAGAATGTAATGCAATATTTTTATTTATTTATATCAATTGTCAATATTTACTATATACAGGTGGCTCAGCATTTACTGTCAACTTAAATAACTTTTGATCTAGTTAATATTTTTTACTGATTTTTTTTTTTTTTAAATAACAGTTATATGTTAGGTTTATAATTATATCTTAATAATTTATATTTTTAATCAACATTAGTTTAATAAATAATATATGCATTTTAGGATTGTGTATTATTATTATCTGCAATCTCATATGTTTACACTCTATCTTTTCAAATAAATCAAGTTCATAATGTAGATCTTGAACCTGTTGTACGTTTATTTTTTAAAACATTGATGGAACATGAATCTATAACTCCATTAGGGGATAACTGCACAATGAATAATATAGAAAATACTAAAATGAACTCTATTTTAGAAAATTCAAGTTTTAGCAATGAGTAAGAATATTCAAAAAAAATCTTAAACAATTCATTATTTATTTAATTTAATATTGCAAACAATAAATTATTATTATTATTTATTTTACAGAAAAATGGATTTTAAACAAAAAGGTCGTACTATTTTAATTGCCACCGCAAAACAACTTCGAATAACTCTATGTGAATAATTAATTTTACTAGGTGAAACTTGGTTAATTATGTATAAACAAATTTACATATTTATTTATCAATAATATTGTGTTTGCTCTTAGAAAAAATGTTAGTACTACAATACGTTTAAAAATATTTATATATAAATGTTTTTTTTGTCTAATCATTCGTATTCAGTGTAAAATATATTTTATCACAGATAAATTTTTAATAAAAAAATTAAAAAACCCTTAATTGAATATATTAAAAATATTTGTGATGATAGAATGTTTATATATTATTGATTACATTTCACAAATTTTAAAGTTTCATAGTTCTATTATTATTTTAATAAGTCTAATAAATAAACAAAAGAACTAATACAAACTTTTATAAGTAATTAGTATTGACAATGTACTATAATATATTATAATTTAAAGAAGTTTTTAGATAATTTTATTATGATGTTATATCATTAAAAATGTTTCTCAGATGATAAACTTATACCATAGTTCATATATTCTTGCTAGATCTTTTTTATTATTAAATTATTGTTTAACTATAATTTGAATTTTTAAATATATTTAATATATAAGTATAAATAAATATAATATTTTTTTTTTATTGAAATTTTTCAACCATGTCATTTATAAATAAAGAGACGATACCTATATTAAAAACATGCGAGAGGACTTAAAAATAAAGCTCGTAGAACGACAAAAAATAAACAGATTATATTAATTTTTTTATTATATCTCAGAAATTTCTTCGTGTGAGTCTGGTGAAAATTTCAAACCGTAGGTCATAAAAAGTTAGCGAGCGTTTTTCTCAAAAACTGTCGAAATTTTAAATCGCTCCCAAACGATCTTCGAAAGTTTTCCGACCTTTGACAATAATTTTCCCGGAGTCTCGTGACCTAGTACTTTCGTTGAAAAACAGTTTTTGAAATCGAACCACGCTAAATAATTTTCCCAGAAAGTTTTTTTTTGCTTGTTTTATTAAATAGGGTGTTTAGTAAGTAAGAAAATGGGTTTCTATTGCTCTTTTTGTTTGTAACAATTGACCTGTTTCCTTATTTATTGAACTTCTGTATTATAAGATATATTTTTCAAATCATTTGTTTTTGTATTATTAATTTCTAGGTATTTATATTGTTATTTTAAATCCGAGAATTTGTGGGATATCAAATTTTATGAAGTTATAGATTTACAGAAAGATTTTATTTCATCATATAAATATATAAATTTGTTATTATTAAATAACATTTTTTTTTATTATACCGCAATAATTGAACTATAACTCAACATGGAAAAAAAGATAACTCATTAAATTAGAGTTAACCTATTAAGAATAGGTTAATTCTCCGTTTTATTCTTTGTAGGACGTTCTCTTGGTAATTCTATATTTTAGTAATTCTAACAAGTCTAAAATCATAGAAATTTAAACGTTGAAAGTGCGTAACAGCACAATACTTCGATGAAATTTCTTGTAATAAATAATCATAGATGTTGTTATGTCCAAATATGCGTCATACAACACTTACTCCATTTCACCTAAAGTTAAAAAATAGTAGAAAAATTCTCTACCAGGAAATATCCGATTTTTTTAAATTTTGTTATGAGGATTGGTTGTCTTATGTAGATTACTATTCAACTATAATTTAATTAATGTAAATACAACATATATTCAGTCTCAAATAAAATGTGTAATGAAAATTATAAACTGTTATACAAACATAACAATTTTAGCCTCTTATATTTTTGTGTCATTCCGTCTTCATAGTCAGGTTGATGTGATCTACACCGATTTTGCTAAAGCTTTTAATCGTGCTGATCACTCCTTACTAATAAGCACCTTAGACCATCTAGGTAACGGTGAACCTTTTCTTTCATGGCTTCGTTTCTATCTACTGGATTGATCCCAATTTGTTTCAGTCCACGGTGCTTATTCCGATGTGTTTTCTCCTTCATCAGGTGTCTCTCAAGGTGCTTCTTTTTCCCCTTCTTTTTGCCTTATTTGTAAATTCTTCCACTTCAATTCTTCACCACGCCAAGCTACTAATTTTTGCCGATGATATGAAACTATATTATCGCATTAATTCATTGTCCGATTGTCTTATTCTCCAATCAGATCTTGAATATTTAGTTATGTGGGACGAGTCCATAGATCTTTCCCTTAACATTAACAAATGATCCTAAATGACTTTCACGCCAAAGTGACCCTATTTATTTTTCTAATTCGATCCATGATATTCCTCTAAAATTTGCTGGAAATTCTGTTCGTGACCTGGGTTTTACCCTTACTCGTACCCTGTGTCCTATAAAACATATAGAAGAAATTTCTTGCAAAGCATTGAAAATCCTGGGTTTTGTTTTTCGCATAACCCAAGAGTTTCACATGGTTTCTCCCCTTAAATCATTATATTGTGGCCTAGTTCGTCTGATTCTTGAATATGGCTGTGTATGGGACTCGCCTTCTTCTGGCGCCAGTGATATGTTAGGACGTGTACAGCGTAAGTTCCTACGTTTCGTTTCTTCCAAATTCNTTGATTCTTGAATATGGCTGTGTCCTATGGGACTCGCCTTCTTCTGGCGCCAGTGATATGTTAGGACGTGTACAGCGTAAGTTCCTACGTTTCGTTTCTTCCAAATTCTCTATCCAACATCCTCCTCATAATTATGTTTCTATTCTTCATTTCCTCAATCTCTCTACTCTTGCTGATCGAAGGCATTCTTAAAACCTCTCATTTTTAACAGGTCTCCTCTCAGGTACTATTGATTCCCCAGATTTATTATCCCTCATAAACTTTAAAGTTCCTCCTCGCTACACTCGTTCAAATATTCCCTTCCTATTCCCTATTCTTCCACAAACTATCCCCTCAATTCTCCTATAATCCGCATGATGAGAAAAGCTAACATGGGCTCCTCCTTTACAATGCTGCAGTTCAAGTTTGAGTTACTAGTTCAATATATTTTATAGTTACTTTTATATTTATTTGTCACATTCAACTTTTGAATTGATCTTTGTGTGTTTACTTAAAATTTTCTGTAATTAAATATTTTTTTGTAAAAACTTTTTTTTCAATTATTATGTACTAAACATTTACAAATATTGTATTGGGCAAGTCCCGTTTAATAAATAAATAACAATAATTTTTGTTAAAAATAGAACGAAAAATAATGTATCAATAATAATGTAATAAAAGTGGTGCTTGAATAATCGGTATCAAAATTCACTGCATAGACATAATGAACATGGTATATTTGATAAATTCAATCTACAATACTAGTGGACGATAAATAAAAAGAAAACAGGCTGAAAGGTCTTAGTAATAATTTTAGTTTACTATACATCATTTGAGCGACAAATTCAAACTACTGTTCTTAGCAGTTGGTAAAGGTATTTTAAATACGGAGACAAATGTATTGATTATTTTAAATTCGAAGGGCAGATATTTGAGAAAATGAATACTGATGTCAATCGAGCTAGGTAATAAGTTTATTACCGTTTTTATTAAGCATTTAGAGCGACAAATTCAAATAAATAATAAGTTCTTAAGCAAAATGGTAACGAAAAATGTTCCTGTTAATGGGTGTAACTAAAAATCTGAGACTATGCGGAAAGAAGTCTCGCCATGTATTGAGATCTATTTAATACCATACAAAGTCCTAAGTATGCAATGTTGAGCAAAAAAAGTACGTCATTTGTTTTTTCACAATTGAGATGCTTGCTTTTTACTTATATTACAGAGAACTTAAAGAACTTGCATTTTTTTTTATGTATACATAAAAAATAAGCTGCTTAAACTCAAACAAAAATGTTGTATTGTGTACCTTTGCATATTTAGGTTCTTTTACTTTTTATATATTTTATAACTTTTAAATATTTTAATTTTTTTTTTCAAAATAACATTTTACTAAGATATTTATTAATTAATAAGTTGTGCATATTTAATTAATTTTTTAGAACTTCAAGTTCATTATTTTACTTATTTACCTTCGTTACCGTAATTGTTAGTTAACCTAAGTTATGCGTTTAAAGAATAACATATATAAAACCCATCTATTTTGTCACTCTTTACAAGCACGTAGATATGGGTGGGCCTGGCCCCCCTTAGATTTAATGTGACCCAGGGCCGGCCCCCCCAAATTTAAAAATCAATTATTTTTACGAATTATCAAAAACGTGCTAGGCCTTATATACATTGAAATTATTATTAATTTGTGATTACTATTGGGCAATACAGTTATTATTATGGCTGTATTTTCATTTTTATATTCATAGAAAACGTTATTTGAAAAAGATAACGTTCTAGACATAATAATGATAATAATAATGATGTTCACATCATTATTGATTATTGATAGTGAAGATGAAAGTATTTTTTTTTTTTTAATTATAGGTACTATCCATTTTTTATAATACTGTAATAATTAGTATACTTTATACGAAAACAATTTGTTTTTAACCAACCACCAATGGTAAAATTTTGAACTTGTAAGATTCATAGTATGGTATACTGTCTAAGGAGGAGTGGAAGGAGCCACCCCACAAGCTTTTCATGGGAAACAAATTATGGAAAATGATACAAGGGCCCAAAATTGTTGGCCCCTCCAATAAACATTTTCTGGCTACGTGCCTGGCTCTTTAAATCAGGTTTGTTATGTAACTCGTTATTAGAAATACATTTTCAGCTAAATAATGTTTATTTATTTTTTATTTTATGTTACTAAAGGTGTCTCATATATATTTTGAATACAACATGCAAACATATTAAAAAATAACTAAATCTACTAATTAACCCTTACTTATTTGCTTTCGTTATCCGTAATTAAATTAATTTTAGTCGATTTAATATCAAACAACTAAAAGGGTTCGTGATTAAAATCACGCCTATACAGTTGGAATGCGAAATTAGCTTGACTCAATTAACACCTCTTAAAATTTAATTAAAAATATCGTAAAATACAACGTTTTTATCTATTTTTGGGTCACTGAGTCCTAATTAATCATCAGTTTTTAATTTGAATTTTAACTAGGATTAGAGTAAAAAGTTTTTTTTTTAATTTTTACAAAGATGTCATATTATTTATAATTTTATACATATTTTAAGTCACTGAATCCAAATTTATCATCAGTTTAGAATTTTGAAGTAGTAGTGAGAGATGGAGAAGGGAAGGAATGAAAAAGTCAATATTTCTCAGTTATTAATTACCGTAATAATCTATTTTTAATATTTAGGGTCAGTGGTGCTAAAAAATGGCGGGGTCAATAAAGATGTGAGAAATAGGATTATGTGCGGATGGGTAAAGTGGAGAGAAGTGTCTGGTATGGTATGTATGCAATAAGAGAATTGCAATGAGGCTGAAAGGTAAATTCTATAAGATAGTAATGAGATCAACTATGATGTATGGGTTAAAGTATAAGGCGGTTGACAAGAAAGTAGAGCTGAGAATGAATATAGCAGAGATGATTATGCTTAGATGGACGAGTGAAGTGTTCAAAGGAGATAGGATAAGAAATGAATACGTAAAAGGAACCATAAAAATAGTGGAAATCGTGGATTAGATGAGAGAAAATAGTCTTAGGTGGTTTTCTAATATTATGAGGAAAGAAAAATTGTAAGCTGTAAAAACGGCTAAGGAAATTAACGTTGATAAAAGAAGAGAAAGTGTAAACCGAAAATAGGTAGTTGGGTGTAATTCTGGGTGATATAAGTGCGGCTAGTGTGTGCATAGATGACGTAGGAGAAATTGTTAAATGGAGGTTTAAGACACGGGTTGCCGACCCCAAGTATTTGGGATAAAGAAGAAGTATGAATAGATAGCTTTGTTACAGCCCTTCACAATAATGGTAAAGTATTACAGCATATTAGTTGTAAGTAATAAATCAGTTGATTTTTTTTAGCTGATGGTAGTAGATTTCTACACCAGGTATTTTTAGACATCGTATGGGTTGTTTGGAAATGTTTTAGTGCTACGTAAAAAACGTTTTAAATATGTTTTATTTGGAATAATAAATCTGTCATTTAAAACATTGCTGCATACAGTTTTTTAAATTGAAAAATAAATATTTAAAAAATACATTGCTTTTATAATGAAAAATCGGACACTAAACATTTTTCAATGTGCTTTTTAAAACGTTTTTTTATATATTTATAACCCTCTTTTTTCACAAATTGAAAAAAAAAATTTATATCGATTGTTTCCCCCCCATTGTTTTTTGTGGCCGACCCTAAGTAGTTGGGATTATGGCGAGGAAGAAGAAGAAGAAGATTTGTTTTTCTCCCCGAATTTTGTAGTGAGTGATGCATCAAATTAGATGAAAAGGAAATTTAATATTAATAAAGGATAATAAAATTGGTGAATCAACTAAATAGTTAACAAATATTTACTCGAATAATAATTTGTTCACTTGATAAATATTTTATCCTTTTAGTAAAAATCAATAAGAATAATTATTTTATGATTCAGTTGTTATCGAGTTCATATAGTATCACTTTTAATAAGGTATATTAAAGGAATTTGTTGTCCATAAATAAATGTATTTTCAAATAAACAATTTTTTAACTTTCATTACATAATTAATGAATGTTTACGTATATCTTGCACTATTATCAGGTTACTTCAAAATTTGGCGCGAAACAATTTTGGGAAACCTTTCTTGAGGTCACGCCTCTTTAAGATTCAAAACAATTCGATCACAACAACATAAAGTTGGCGGCTGTGTAAGTTTTCGACAATCTGATTTATTCAAGTTATTTTTATTCTGTAATATTAATTTTAAATTTTTATAATTTGACATGGAGACAGATGCACATATGATGTCTCAGCAATATGCACAAGCTCAACCACCACAAATACAACATCCACCAGCTCCACAGCCAAGTTAGTTAACTTAGTAGAGTAGAAGTGAACTAGATGTATTTATTTTACATATAGTTCTTTTAGTACTTATTTTGATTCTTCTATAAATTCATTAATTATGATTTTAAAGTGGCTAAACATTTTTAGCTTCTAATTTTTTGATTATTAAAATATTTATATAGAAATTTACTGTTTTCTTAAAGAGTTACATAACCTATAAATTTTCAAATTTGATAGTAAAAACAAAAAAAAAATTAATATTATATGAAACTTTCAACTGTATATAATTTAAAAAAACGTTCTAGTTAATCATTATAGTATTTAATCTTGCTGAATAATTATTTTTATATGTATTAATGTAAATTTTTAATATTTTACTATTTTTAGCTCGAGAAATGCAACAGACTACTGCACCAACATCAGCAGATGCCTGTTTAAGTATTGTTCATAGTTTAATGTGCCACCGGCAAGGATGGGAAAGTGAAGGATTTGCAAAACGAGCTATTGAGTCATTAGTGAAAAAACTAAAGGTATATAATAGTATTTAAAATAATGAATAAAATTACTTATCATTATTAAATATCTCAAATTATTTATTAAAGAAATACTTATTCAACGTTTTTTTTAGGAAAAAAGAGATGAATTAGATAGTCTCATATTAGCCATAACAACCAATGGCTCTCATCCTAGTAAATGTGTTACTATTCAAAGAACATTGGATGGAAGATTACAAGTAAGTTTAAATAATTTTTGTTTTTACAAAAAATAAATAAATGCCTTAAGTATATTTTGTAAGAGTTTTCTTTCATAATTTAAGTGTACACATTCTATTATTATAATTAATATTGTTACAGCCCAGAATATCATTTGTTATGTATTTTTTACTTAAACAAATTTTTATTTGATAACAATTAGTAAACAATGTTTTGTAAACATCAATTAATGTATATCTAATTTTTTGTTTTTATTTTAATAATATAATAAAAAAATTATTAGTGAATAATATTTAATGTACAGAATTAAACATATTAATAATCATTGGCTGTGTTATAAAATTGACTAAACCAAATAAACTATTCTTCTTACAAAACAAATGAATTAAACCATTTCCCTTACAAAATTTTAATTTATATTTTATAACATATTTTTTCAGTGCTTTATTTCAAAGCATTTGATAATTTTTCAAAATATCAATTTAGAAGTTAAAACTATTTAAAGATTATATATTGGCAAATTAATAATGCCTCCAAAAAAATTTTTTTTTGTTTTTTTGTTATGATAATAATGTGAAATTACAATGACATAATATTCTTTACCCAAAAAAACTCCAAAATCAAAAATAATCTCATAATTATGATTTTTTCAACAATAATTTTTGGACAAAATAATGTAATATAATTTGTGTAAAAATAATGTATAACAAAAATATTGTGTTTTTCGTAGATTTTATATAATATTACCAGTGATATGATAGTTACGTAATATCAAGACACCCAATTGTTTAAATTAATTAATTAAATTTTGTTTGGTATAAAATAAATTTCATAAAAATCATTGATTATGTGACCGAGGATTCCTATTATAAGTGAATAAAAGAAAGTTATTAAAAAACAGTAGCTTTGCATATAAATTGTTCATTACAGTAGAAAACTTTGAAATTTCATAATTTTTAAGCTATGCTTTCTTTGGGGCCATTTTTTTTTTATATATTTTTAATCAACATTATAAAAAAATTTTGATTTTTATGAATAGGATGGTAAAATTAATTTAAGCCCTACTAACACACATTTAATTTTATTAATATATTAAAGTAATTTTACTCAATTTTGGAGGGAACTTTTCTCCCTTAAGACTTCTATAAATCCACCAGTGTAATAATACTTAAAATATGTTATATTATGTAAACTTTAAAATATTGAAACTTTTTATAATATTTAAATTTTTTTATCATTATTCGAGTAATGTCACATTCTTAATACAGGTTGCTGGTAGAAAAGGATTTCCACATGTTATTTATGCAAGAATATGGCGTTGGCCAGATCTTCATAAAAATGAACTCAAACATTTAAAATATTGTCAGTATGCATTTGATTTGAAATGTGATTCAGTGTGTGTAAATCCTTATCATTATGAAAGAGTTGTATCACCGGGTATAGGTAACTAATGTCTATTATTTATGTATAAGCTACTAATTTATTAATACATTTTTTTTGAATATAAACATTTTTTAAGATTTAAGTGGTTTAACATTGCAAAGTGGTTCATCAACAAACGGTTCGGGGAGAATAATTGGACTTAGAGATGAATATACTGCTGGAGGAGGAGGAATGTCCCCATCTCCACCAGGTTCTAGTCAGGTTAGTAGTTCCAACATGGACAGTGACGTATCAGGTAATAGTCCAGCTGTAACTGTACAACATCATTTGCCTCCCATGTATCATCAACCAAATACAAGCTCTGATGTATCTCAATCACCATCTGTATCTCAACCTCCAGGTAATAATGCTTACTTATTAAACAAGTAAAACTAATATTTTGCATGCTATTTTATTCAATAAAATTTATTTTAGATATGATTTATATTTTAATAAAAAAATATATTATTAAAATTTCCACTTTTGAAAATGTGAACATTGCACATCCAATGTTTTTGTTATTAAGGCTATAATAAATATATAATATGTTAACTAATTAAACAGTTTTAACATTAAATTTGGATTGATTTGTCAGTTGGTAGAAGTCTCTAAGTTATTCCTATTTTTTTTATAGAACTTAATGTGTTAAAGTTAAAAATGTATTCAAATGTTTTGTAAAATTAAAGTTAATGTATGATGAAATTAATGTTTCTTTTAATAAATAAAATAATCACCTTAAATAAAATTAAAAATAAATATTTATAGAAATGGCTAGAATACCTAAATTTCTAAGTGTATTTATTCTCAATTTTTTTAGGTTTGAATAAATTTGAATGATAATAGTTGACTTACACTTAATAATATCAATCACAAATTACTATGAAGTTTTTTTTTAACAATAAAGTTAATTAGGGTTGCATAGATTTGTTCAATAAATAATATATATTTATCAAAATGATTGTTTCTATTAAAAATAATTTTCACCTAAATCAGAAAAAAAGTTTAAAAAACCAGGAAGTAATATACATTTCATATAATCTAACTTATAGAAAAAAGAAATCAGTTATTTTAAAATAATATTAATACAAATTTTTGTTTTAAAAATTCATTACTGTTCTCCTATAATATTTGCTTTTTGAGATGTACAACTTATTGTCTCTTAGTTTAGATATGATTAAGATAAATAGATTTAATCCATTTATAACAAAATAGTTATCATTTCTTATCTTTAAACATTTTTATTTGTTATTTATAAATGTTTTCAGAATAAAATCAATTCAGATTCTAATATTATTTTATCACCTCAAAATTATTTAATCATAAAAATCATATTTAAAATAGAATTGCTTTAAGTTATTGAATTTTTTATCAAACACTTTTGACTTGAACATTTGGCTTCATAAATGCATGTGTAGTTAGTAGTACATAATTATTTGTAGGAAATATTGATATGTTTCGATCTACACAACAACAGCAACGCCCAAGTCATCCAATGGGTATAAATTCTCAAGTACAGGTTAAGACCGAATCATGTAACAGTTGGATGTCAGGAACACCTTCACATGTATCCCCTAATAGTAAGTTTCATTAAAGCTTATTGATCAATTCAAAATAGTAATGGCATTAAAAAAAAAGATGTTCAATTTTATTTTATCATTTAAAAAAAATATATCAATATTTTAATAATTCAACAATGTTGTTGAAATAGGCTCTATTAAATAAATTTATTAAAACATGAGAATGAATCAAATTATTTACTTAATTAAATTTTCCTAATCGTGTTTGGACTATAAATAGTATACGTATAGTATAAATAGTATATAGTATACGTTAACACTTTAAGTGAGCTCTTTTAATATTTTTACCATTTGAAAATAGATTCCTTTTGATAAACTTTAAATTTTTACATTATTTAATACATAATTTTACATTATTCAATATTTGCGTTAGTTGAGTTCTCTAAAAAAACATTTTTGTTCAGAGATTGTAAAGAATTACTTAAAAAAAACATTACAATAGTGTGACTTCATTATTCTTAGCACCATCCTGTTTTCATTTTGCTCAATGATGCATCAAAAGATCACAAAAAATATTTAGTTAAAGGTATCAGTGCCAAAATGTTGAAAAAATTATCTTCAGTCCCAGTAATAAGGAGAAATGTCTTAAAAAATTACAATTATCATAAAAATGTCAATGTTTATATTTTTAGTTTTGACTTTATATTGAAATAACTTTTTTAAAAATGGATAGATTATCACGAAATATTTATTGCCTATACTTCAAACATTTACCTTACCGATGAAATACTTTTTATGAAAAAACCAAATATTAATCAAGGTGTTCAATATGTTTTTATAATGTTTGTTAAAAACCTACATTATCCGATTAAAGATAATATAACATACTTTAAAATGAAAAAAACTATCTAATGTAATGAATTCGCAGTGTTATCAGGCATTAAAGCCCAAAATCATACAATTTTCGATAAAATTAATAGTTTTTTAAGTTTTATGCACAGCAATCGAACAAGTAACTGTCAGATATCAATCAATACTTATCTAAAAAAATTCTATTTCTAAATAGAATATAAACTCAATTCTAATTTACTGGATTCCTACTGTTTTTTTATTTTCTTTTAAGAAAATACTCCAAAAATATTACAATGGCATTTTAAAATAATTACTTCCAACACAACTTAATTTGCCCTGAAATATAATGTTATTTCATCAAGTATAGTAAAGTATCTCACCTAAAAGTTGTTTTTTTTATTTAAATACTAAAAAATGCAGTAAATAGAGTAGAATTAATCTGAATTTCTTGTAGGTACTTATTGAATGATTGAATGTATTCTTATTATATCCTATAATTTATATGATATTCTGTTTAGATAGTAAAATATTATTTTTTGAAGCTTTAGCTAGAGTTTAGTGAGACTTATTTCTATCGCTTTACTAGTAGATTTTCTATGTCATACAATAATGTTTTGTATTGTATAAATTATCAAGACATTCTTAATTTAAATCAATTTTTTTAGGACCTCCCAACATACCATTACAAAATACAAATATGTTTAGTGGACAAAATGAAGACAATTTGTGTAAGTAGTTTAACTGTTACAATTATGTTTGAATCTACTCTACATTATTTTAGGTTTATTCATGTATGTAAAATACAATAAATTTAATTATCTAAAAATACATTTTAAAGTCTTATTAAAATAATGGTTAAAAAGAAATTTTTTTTATATATATACAGGGTGATTGGCTAATTGTGTCTCATGTAATACCTTTAAAAATACAAGTGTTATAAAAAAAATTTTTTTTTTAATCATTATAAATCTTTGATGAGGTGTTTCATAGGTAAATTTAAATTTCTACCACAATCTCTTATGCTTAAAACTTGTATCAACTTCATATTTTCAAATGGTAATCCTATTTTTTTTTACACCATTAGATTTAGTTTAATAAAAAAAGAAATGTTTTGTAAAAAAAATATTTTATTTTATTTAATATTAAATGCTCTGTCTCTAAAGTTTAGGGTTTATTAAGAAAAAATTATAATAGATTTGAACATTATAGGTCATAAATCGATAAAAGCTATGTTGACACAGTAAACCAATAGCTCATATTGCTACATAAAATAATAATGTGTCTATGTTGGAAAAACTACTAAATTTTTCCATCAAATATCATAAATTTTAAAGTAGCATATCTTTAAAATTCATAACTTTTTTTTTTTTTACTTAACATTTTTTTTTTATGGTGAACAAAAATGTATAAAAATAATATGGGTTGCCATTTGAAAATCTGAAGTTGATACAAGTTCTAAGTATAAGAGATGATGATAAAAATTTAATTTTTCTTGTGAAACAGCTCATTAAAGATCTAATATGATTTTAAAAAAAAATTGTTTATAACACTAGTATTTTTAAAAATATGTGAGATATAGTTAGCTGATCACCCTGTATATATATATATAAAAAAAAAAAAATTTCTTTAAAGGATAGATCAAGGAACGAGCATATAAGAGAGAGTATAGGTGTAGCATCAATCGTGGATAAGATAAGAGAAAATAGACTTAGATGGTTTGGTCATGTTATGAGGAGAGAAGAATTGGAAGCTGTAAGAACAGTTATAGAAATGAATGTTGAAGGAAGAAGAGGTAGAGGAAGACCAAAAAAGAGATGGAGGGATACTATTAAATGCGATTTGAGGACAGCAAATGTGAGCATAGATGATGTGGGGATCGTGTCAAGTGGAAGTTTAGGATAAGGGTGGCCGACCCCAAGTAGTTGGGATTAAGGCGAGGTAGAAGAAGAAGTAGAAGATAATTAGCCGATCACCTTGTATATATATATTTTATTATTTTTATTTTTACAAACTTAATTTAGGTGGTTAAGGTGGTAATATATTAATATGTTTTAAATTATGCATATAATTAAAATTTAATATTTTATATCATTGAATAATTATTGACCATTTATAGTACCTAGTCAAACAATTACTCCTCATGATTACCAAGGACCAGCAGCCTCAATGCCTGGTACAACAACAGGTAACCGAACTGTTCAAAGTACTCTTACATATACACATTCAATGCAACCTCCGCATCCTACATTCTGTTAGTATAATCAATATTTGTCTAATTATGGTTTTAGTTATTAAATTATTTTTTAAATATTTTTTGTATTCTTAGGGGGAGTATCTGAAATGGGTTTAAGTGGATTATTGTCTTCACAGCCAGCCCCCGAGTATTGGTGTTCAATTGCTTATTTTGAATTAGATACTCAAGTTGGTGAAACATTTAAAGTTTCAAGCACTTGCCCACATGTGACTGTTGATGGTTATGTTGACCCATCTGGAAGTAACAGATTTTGTTTAGGCGCTCTGAGTAATGTACACAGAACTGAACAGAGTGAAAAGGCAAGGTAAGAATAATATTATAAAAAGTATAAAATAATAAAATATTTATTTGCTAAATTGACTACAGTTTTAATATTGCTGTTTTACTGTTTTAAAGTTTATTTTAATAAAGTTTTATTGTTAATAGCTAAAATCTAATTTCGATAGTATTACGACTTAATAATATATGAAAATAAAGAATTAGCAAGCGTTTTTAAGACAATTTTAATTATAGATAACACGGCTTCTTACGAAATGTTGGCATCCAAAGTATTCAATAATTTTTACCCATATTTCAAAGTATTGTAGCAAATTCAAAAATTCATGAACCTTTTTAAATGGGACTGTTTTTTGTTTTGTTCTATTGAACTTATGGGTAATTATTTAATGAGAGGGCAATTGTCCTATTACTCCTTTCCTAAAATAAAAATAAAAAATGTTTTCAAAATGAGTGCATTTTACTAATATTTTTCTTTTTCAAGGTACTCTTAAAAAATACATCGAGGCTTACAATGTAGTATAGTTTTAATTATCATTGCCTTTAAAATATTTAAGTAATTTGAAAATGTTAGTCAGATAAGATCTGATTATATTCACAAATTTTTCAAATGTAACAGTAGAATTTAAATTTGTAAATTTCTCCAAGAAAAAAATAAATTTTAAGTGTTAAATGGAAAACCCATACGATTTCTAATATAAATTTATTTAAATAACAGTTGTTTATGATAAAATACTTTCTATACTGTCTGTTAGTTGTAACTAAGATTTGATCCTTTTTATAATATATAAATTAATTGTAAAGGATAAAATTTTTATTTTAATTATATATATATATTTGTTTTCAGATTACACATTGGTAAAGGTATTCAACTGGATTTGATAGGAGAAGGAGATGTTTGGTTAAAGTGTCAAAGTGATCATTCGGTTTTTGTACAATCTTATTACTTAGACAGAGAAGCTGGCCGAGCTCCAGGAGATGCTGTACATAAAATCTATCCTCATGCATATATTAAAGTAAGTTATTATTAATGAAAAAAAAAAGTATTACTTAATAATAATTTTAAAAACCAACTAAATTTACAAAATATTAAGTATTAATAATGGTAGTTATCGAATATAAAGATCAGAAGTTAAACCTGTAGAATTTCAATTTTAATATTCTATTTAAATATTTATGATATCAATATATATAATTTGAAAATCTTTGATTTTCTTTTTGATATTGTCAATAAAAATAGCTTGATAGTGTTATAAATTTAGTTCTTGTAGAATATATTACAAAAATAATAAATAACTAAAAAAAATGTATTAAATTTTATATTTATTTATGTTTTATATATAAAATAATTACAAAAATGCTATTAAAAAAAAAAAAAAAAGTTAAAATAATAGAAAATTAATCATTTTTAATGAAAGAAAAAGGAGCATTACTTATTACCCCAGTTGTAGTATATACCTACAGTGGTAAAATTCACTAATAATTGTATGGTTTTTATCAAATTTGTATAAAATAATTTTACATAATATGATATCAATAATCAATTCATCGGTTATCAATAAATTATAGTTTTCGATATTGTGATAAATTTCTGGAATAATTTAATTAAAAATAATTAAAACCAATATCAATGTTCAAACAAATATTATTGAAGTTCTCTGCAATTGATTAATCATTTCTAAAACTTGAAATCTCGTTATTTAATAAATATTTTTAATCTATTAACTGTATTAGTTCTCCGTAAAATCTTACAATATTAATAATAACCAAAAAGTTTTATTATAAAACTATAATTTATATTATTAATTTCTAGGTGTTTGATTTAAGACAATGTTATAGGCAAATGCACCAACAAGCTGAAACTGCTCAAAATGCTGCTGCAGCTCAAGCAGCTGCTGTAGCAGGACATTTAGCTGGACCACATAGTGTTGGTGGAATTGCACCTGCTATTAGTATGTTATTATTATGGTTAAATCACATACTATTAAAATTAACACTATTGAATTTATTAGATTTTACAAATAAAATCTGATTGGTTCACGAATATAAACTAATCGTCATTATAGCTTAATACATATTTAATAAAATTGCAAAATCTTTTACTATTTCGTTAAGTATTAAATTTAGAGACACTTTAAAACAAAATTCTTTTATCTAAGTAAGTATATAGGAAATAAATACCTTATATTTCAGGTTTCAATGCTGCTGCTGGTATTGGTGTAGATGATTTAAGGAGGTTATGTATATTAAGGCTAAGTTTTGTTAAAGGATGGGGTCCTGATTATCGACGTAGTAGTATTAAAGAAACTCCCTGTTGGATTGAAGTATGAATGAACTAATATCTTTACTAAAATTTAAAAGTATCATTTTAATATAACTTTTTTTGGTTTTTAGGTTCACCTACACAGAGCATTGCAACTTTTAGATGAAGTATTGCATTCTATGCAAATTGATGGTCCTTCAAGAGCCTAATAAACAAGTTTACATAATTTAAGTTCAAGTGTAGTAAGTTAATTTTAAACATAAAGGAACTGGTACTTTGTTCTGATGAACGAAAGCTTATTTGAAAGTTAAATTTACTAAGTACTGGTATTTGGTATTTTGTAAATTTTTAGAAGACCTTAGTTAAGGTTTTTTCTTTAATTGCCTCAAGGATTTTTAATTTGTTTAAATAATGTCGAGAAAAACTTATTAATATTGACTTAATTAATTATAAACACTTACAGAAGAATCTATTATCATCCTTGTTTATTGCAAGATTTTTAATATAAAGATTCAATTTAAATTATTTTTATATATTTATTCATTTAAATTGAATGGACTATTGTTTTATTTTTTATGTTAATTTATTTTGCGTTGGGAAAGAAAAATAAAGGTATTTTCATACCCTCCAAAAATGTTTGTTGTGTGTAAATATTTGATTCTGTGTTACTTGTTACTCATTTTTGCATCAGTATTTTAATGTAATAATTTTCAAATTATGTTACTTAAAAAAATAATACATCTCTTAAATGATAGAGAACAATTTTGCTCATTTTATTTAGGTGTTAATTTTTTTACTACCTCATCTCTTATTTTTTATGTTTAATGTTTAGAATTGTATCCTATGAGCCTTTAAATTTAAGCTTTAATAAATATAATTATGCTGCTATTTTTTATAAACTATAATTTTTATGGATTGTATTTAATCAATTATAATGTTCATAGTTTTCCTACCATTAAAAATTAATTAGGGGTTAACTTTGTAATTTTATGTTTTATTTACCATTGTTTATTTTATTTCATTTTTTGTAAATTTTCGAGAGATTTTAAACCATATGAATGTTTTTTATTTTATTTTTCTATTCTATTAATGCAGTTACCATAACTGATTTTTTTCTGCTGAATACTATTTTTCCAAATGTAAATGTTTTATATAAATGGAGATATCTATTTTTGTTTTAGCATTTTTTATTTTACAATATTGTTAATTCTGCAATGCACTATTGGATATTATATAACTTTTTTATTGAATCTGTATTATTAAAAAGTATAATTTTTATACTAAAACTATTATACAAACGTGATAGTTATGAAATTATTTATTATTATTTTAATGTGGATAACATAGAAATATATGTCAAATATGGAATTGGAGTATTAATATCACATTAATATGTTATATTTTAACTTACAAAAGTGAAGAATTAATTTTTAATTACCATATTTTTCGTTTTTGTTATCTATTGACAACCTACAAATTCATTTATTCATTATGTAAGGAAATACAATTTTTTTATATCCTTGTTTAAAATTTAGATACTTCTTAAAGGAACTTAATCATAAATTTGCTATAATTTTTTTTTTTTATTCTTTAAACACTTATCTCGTAATGGACTGATTTTGCTTAAAGTAATTAACAATAATTATGTTAAGTTATCAAAAATTGTATACAGTTGAAATCATCATCATATTATGAAAAAATTTACTTTATGCCCATAAAGTTTTTTAAATTTGAAATAGGTTATTTCTGTAAAATTTTTGGTTTTTTCAAATATTATGGGGAATATACATAATTAAAATATATTTCCATATAGTGGGCAATTTAGGTAATGGTCAGAAATAAGTATTTAAATAGGTAAATTTATGGCAGTTTATTATTACACATTGTTAAACACACTGATAATCTCGTTTAAGAAAGTTAATATGATAAAAGGAAAGGAATTTTTTTTTTTTTTTTTTTACTTGTGAGAAAAAATGTTGCTTCTTGTAAAATGTATGTATTAATTTAAATAATATTTATACTACATAATATTTTACTATATATTTGAAAGGTTGTATCAAAATTATAAAAATGGTCATTAACACATTTAAAACATGATAAAAAAAAAATTACAGTTTTTGATTAAAAGTTAAAGTTGTTCATAAAAAATTAACTTAAACAACTAGACAAATTTCATATAAAAGTTACAAATTAGTCAAAAAATACAAGTTATAAAGTTACACAATATACAATATTATCTGAATAATTCATTATTTACACCGAAAACTAATAAGATTAAAATTTAATATATATGTTAATTACGTTCAACCAATATATTTCCATTTCTTTGTTTTTTATTGTATTTTTTGATATCATGTTTCTGAAATAACTAATTTTTATTAATCCTTATACCTATGATACAATGTTATATGTATTTTTATAATGGTATATTCATCTATGTATATATACAGGGTGGCCCACCACTCACTGACAACTTAAATAACTTTTGATCCAGTTAATATTTTTAGTTGATTTTTTTTTTAAATAATAGTTATACGTTAGGTCTATAGCTATATCTCAATAATTAATTTTTTTACATTTTATTAAAAATATTAATTATTTTTAAATTTTAAATAAAATGTAAAAAAAAAATCTAAGATAGCTATTTTGTAGAGTAGAATTTAAGAAAAATTTTAGTAAAAAAATATCTTATTAATATTCAGTAGTAAATATTCTGTAGCGTTTTGAAGTTTGTGAAAATTTGAATTTTCATGTACTATTTTACGGTATTAAACATTGAAATACGTATTGAGAAAAGGACAGAAGAAAACGCTATCTTTTCAATATACTTTTGAATGAGAGTGATAAGTAATAATTGCCTTATCTAATTTCTTATCATGGTATTTATGCCAAGTTTGTAATGTATACACACTATCATCATATGTATACACAGTAATCATGAAAAGATAGCGTTTTCTTCTGTCCTTTTCTCAATACGTATTTCAATGTTTAATACCGTAAAATAGTACATGAAAATTCAAATTTTCACAAACTTCAAAACGCTACAGAATATTTACTACTGAATATTAATAAGATATTTTTTTACTAAAATTTTTCTTAAATTCTACTCTACAAAATAGCTATCTTAGATTTTTTTTTTACATTTTATTTAAAATTTAAAAATAATTAATATTTTTAATAAAATGTAAAAAAATTAATTATTGAGATATAGCTATAGACCTAACGTATAACTATTATTTAAAAAAAAAATCAACTAAAAATATTAACTGGATCAAAAGTTATTTAAGTTGTCAGTGAGTGGTGGACCATCCTGTATATCTCATACAATGAGTGCGAGAATGCTGATAAATGACTTCAAAGTACTATATCATATGTTACTTTCTTTTAAACATTTTGTACAGTCTAATAATTAATAAAAAATTTTTGTATATTCAGATAAAGAATAAAGTATAAAAATATTACACATTTTGATTTATGACCATCTTAGATTTAAATTGCCATATATATATATATATGAGGGTGTTCAGTAAGTAAGGAAATGGGTATATAATGTTCTCGTTAATTGTAACGATAACAGGTAATCCATGATGTTTTGACAAATTTAATCATTTTTAATGTAATAAAAGCTTTGAGTTACTTAAAAAAATAAATCATTTTTTTTCAGTTTTTTAGTGTTAGAAAAGTTTTACATATTAAAATGCTTGTAACTTCGTCTAAAATAAAACACTCATTGCTGATCACGTGATAGCAAATTCTTGAATTCAAAATTGAGTTCAAAATCTTGAACTCAATGGCAGTTATACAGGGTGATTTTTTTTATCATAACCCACTCAATTACTTACAGAATAATAATAATTAAAAAATTTTTTTTTATTATTATCTTTAGTTACACATTATTCTTGAATAATTAACTATGTAATACTTTTTAAGTTCATCCCTTATGCCTTGGAAGGGGGTCAACTTTGTTTTTTTAAATGGTAACACATATTTTTAATTTAATAAAATGTTTGAGTTTTTAATTTAATAGTAAATGGCATTTGAATTTTTAATATAACTTTATTAGCTTATTAGATATAAACATTTAAAGTTTCAAAATTTTGAGTTAATATACATGTATAATACACATGGGATTGTAAATACAGGTAGCTAATTGGATTTTTATGANCTAATTGGTTTTTTATGACATCGATATTAGCAGGTACACAGCATTGTTATTATCAATGATAGTAAGGTACATTTATGTGAGTTTATAAATACACTAACTGACAATACAAAAAGTATATCTATTGATAGTCACAATTGATAATAAACAATCCGTGACTGTGATAGCAATGTCATAAAAAACCAATTAGCTACCTGTATTTGTAATCCCTTGTGTATTATACCTATATATTAACTCAAAAATTTGAAACTTTAAATGTTTATATCTAATAAACAAATTAAGTTTTATTAAAAATTCAAATGCCATTTATTATTGAATTAAAAACTCAAACATTTTATTAAATTAAAAATATGTGTTACCATTTAAAAAAACAAAGTTGACACCCTTACCAGGCATAAGGGATGAACTTAAAAAGTATTACATAGTTAATTATTCAAGAATAATGTGTAACTAAAGATAATAATAAAAATTTTTTTTTAATTATTATTATTCTGTAAGTAATTGAGTGGGTTATGATAAAAAAATCACCCTGTATATATATATATACACACACACACACACATACATATAGAGTGTTTATTTCACTATGTCTAAGTAATAACTAAAAATATACTAAAGTATAATTTTTTCTTTATAAGATTTAATATTATCTAATGTTCTATAATTTGCAAAAGAAATTTGGTCATAACCTCTTTCTATTCCCTTAAAACTGTATCAACTTTTATTTTTTAAAAGGAAACATGTTTAACTAACTTAAAAATAAGAAAATGATCTGAACTTAGATTTGTAAATGAAAACTATCATAATATATTTTTAATATTTATAACAGAATTTATTGTATTGTTCTTATTGTGGTCTCTTTATCATTATAAAAGATGCTATAATGAAATATTCATTTTATCTTTCAACAGAAGAAATATTTTTTTTTTTGTTTTTATTTTCTGTTTATTATCAATGGCTAAATTAATAATTGCTAATCATAGTTGAATTTAAACGTAAATATTATCATGATTTCATTGCATTTATATTATAAATTTAAATACTACATTTTAAATTATAATAAATGTGAAAAAGAAAAAACATTAAAATAAAACAAATTTTTTGAAGTAAGTTGTAACACATTTTCAAATGATCTTTTCTTAATTAATTTTTTTACTTTTACTATACATGCATGATATCTAAATTTATAGATGTGAGACACATGTTTTTTATAACAAGTTTAATATTTAAATGAAATACTAGAAATAACTTAAAAAAAAAACCTAGCACAGTGGGGTCGTGGCATAGTTGGGTCCAGTATAGATGATATCTGACAGTGATGATTAAAATCACTACCATAAAAAACGCTTCGATGTAAATCTGTACTGTTTAATTAGAAAAAAAAAATTTGTCAAAAAAGTAGGTCAAGTGAGAGCTGAGAAAATAAATGATAGCTACAAAAAAAAACCACATAGTAAAATAATATTAATATGAATTTCTTCTCACGAGAGGAAACTACAGTAATGGGATCCATGATATTTATTGAAATTATTGAATCTAAATGAGATAAAAATCAAATGAGTTAAACATTTTTTTCTAACTTAAAAAAAAATAAGAAATAATTTAATGCCACAGGCGTGAAGTGTTACCGTTTCAAAAACCGTACGTCGCATTCCTCACTTTATAAAAATGGAAATTTAGCTAGTTCAAATTTTAAAGTTATTTTTCTCGACTTCAAAGGAACAAAAAAATTTAAGTATGATTAATTTTTTATACTATGTCATTTAGATTGATATAATATTTATGAAAATCAGTGTAATCCCCTTATAATAAAATAAAATACAAAACCAAGGATTTTAACACAAACATAGCATATTTTTGAATACGGTATCCATTTGCGCATAGAAGATAGATCCGTTGGGACAAATTTTTTTTCTCATTTTATAGTACATCAAATAAGCTTTAATTTTATATACGCTTAAAGGACGCAGTATTTCCGGAACTCTTTCAAAAATTAAGTTGAAAAAGTTCTATTTTTTATACAATGTTTCAAGTTTTGAACGCCCCCTATATATGGGAAAATTGTTCAATTTTAATAAAAAGTATGTCAAATGAAAGATGTACTTATAATGTATTTAGAAAAAAAAATTTGTGCTGATAATTACATTTTTCGAAAAGTTATGGCATTTTTAAGTTGAAAATTTAAAATCGAAAATTTTAACACAAAAATAGCGTTTTTTTTTTAACTACGGCAGCCGTTTAAATGCAGAAGATAAAGTGTCGGGACAAATTTTTTTTTTAATATTAAAGTATATTACATTATCTTTAATTTAAGATATATATAAAAATGTCAGTATTTCCGAAACACTTTCAAAAGTTTAGTTGAAAAAGTTGTAATTTTGAACCCCCCCTGTGGAGGGGTAAAAGGTTAAATTTATAAAAAAAATATACCAAATGATAGGTAGACATCAAGCATCTATAAAAAAAATTATATTGATTTGTTCATTTTTGAAAAAGTTATGGCAGTTTTAAGTAAAAAAAATTGAAAAAAATTTCGAATATTAGCGATTTTTAAATTTGTAATTTTTTTGGATATTTCCCCCATTTACGGGGAACGAGGGAAATTTTTTTCAATTTTTGAGGATAATGTCTTCGACTAGATACTATTTGTGATCTTTAGACGTATCGTTGAAAGAAATAGGTTCGGTGAGAGCTGAGAAAAAGTGGTAACAGACAAAAAAAAACATCATAGTAAAATTAATACCTTCTCAGCTTCGCATTGAAACTAAAAGACTTAAATTCTAAGTCATAATTAATTAATATTACACATAATACAGATATATCATATTTTTAAACATTACAATAATACTAGATGGAATGGATCTAACTAACAACTCTTATCTTTTGATTTAATAATCATCTCGTCAATTTTTTTAAAAATAATTTTTGTATTCTTAGACTACATTAAAAGCACATTTTTATTATTTATTTTTAATAATAAAATTAGTTACATACAAGCATTTTAATACATAGAGTGGGTATATAACATTATTATGAAAAACATTATAGCATTATAATATTATAGCATTATAAATATACATCAATACCCAGCTTGAAATATGTTTTATAGTAATTTCTGGAGGTAAGACGCTGTGATTTTTATCACTAATCATTTCCTAGCCGTATCCTTTCTCTTGCATAAGTATAAAAATGTTTATAAATTCTAAAATACTATCCAAGTTGTTATTGACCAGTCAGTCATTTTCTTAAACAGATAATTATTTATTAAATAAACTAGTTAATTAAGTATGTTGTCATTTGAAAAAAACATGTACCTAAAAGAAATCCCATAAATAATTTTAAAAATTATTTTAATAGTTAGATGTTTTTTAATAATTTTTTTTTATATTTAAAAAAAAAAATTGTGAGTCAATTATTTTACAAAATATTGCTATAAATATTGAGTGTTATAACTGTATTTGGTTAGATTGGGTTTAACTATACTTTGCATAGATTGTAAATACACAATATGTTCATTTATACATTTTTCATAAGTGAATTGTTGGTTAAATTAACATTAATTATTTATAAAGTAATTAAATTTAACTTTACCTTAATCATTTTTGGGCTATTTTCTTTAGATGGTAGGTTTGAGTCTGACCCATTCAATGATACAAGGCTTGAATGTGTTGATGTGGAACTTACGACAGATTCACCAATATCTTCTAGATAATTCTGTGTGATCTCGCGTCTTAGTGTAGTGTTTACATAATCAGGATAATCAAACTGTTTTCTCTTAGGAGTTTCACCTGTTACATTTTATATGAGATATTGTTTTTTTTTTTAATTATATAAAATACCTGATGGTGTACACTTCTTTGCTTCATTTAAAAATATTTTTACATTGGTTTCTTGCCTAAAGAATTCTTCTTTAACACATAAACTACCCGTTTCAACACTATCAACTTGTTTTTCATTAAGTAATGATAAATTAGAATGAAATTCTTTGGTAATATTTTCATAATGTCGCACACAATAATTTGCTTCATCAATTGTTTTAGATATGTTATTGTTAACATTCTACAGTAAAAAATATAAATTTAATTTAAAAAGCACGACAGGAAAAAGTAGTAAACACAGAAATGACTTACCAAAATTTTTTTGTTAATATTTTCAACTTCATTAGTAATATTTTGAGTTAAATGATCAAATTCTAATGTTACAGTATCATGAATTTTTAATAGTGTTTCTTGGTTTGTAGTACATTGATGAGATAATTGATCAAATTGAGCATTATCAGATATAGACTTTAAAATAACTTGACTCTATAAAAATGAATAAAAATATATAGATTGGGACTAAGTCATCCATGTATTTGTCATCCCACAGAATATAAAAATGTCAATAATTCCTTAAGTACTAATTAAATGAATGTTTTGATTGGCCTTTTTTTTTTAGTACATTAATTTAATTTAATTTTTTGTTTCTACAACCTATTAAGGGTCATAACTGTATCTTATAAATGGGAGAGGTTTTTTAACAGTTTATACTTTGGCACAAGCGGTTAGTTTACCTCTGAAGAAAGGGATGGCAATTCTAATTACTAAACTGATCTATTGCTCAGCAAACAGAGTCGCTCTTAATTAAGTCTCAAAACCATGGTAGTTCTTATCAAGCATTGCCCAATATCAACTCAGCTACACCATCTGTCCATTTTATAAAAACAGTAATAATATATGTATAATATACATTATCCTTTAGCTTCTATTCCAACTATTTGGTGTTGGCTTTACTTTATAATGATTTGTCAGGATTTTTAAACCAGCTATTGATTTGATGTAACTCATTATAAATTAGGAAACCAGTAAGGAGACAAAAAGTGTCACTGTTAAAATTTCTGTGTAGTCACTCATCCAGAAATTAACAGCAAACAGCAATGCTATATATCAGCACTAAGGTAGCAACTGAATAATCTACTGCGCCACATCACACCCCATTATTATTTGTACAATATAAATGCTATTTAAACAAAATGGAATTAATACTCTTGTAATATATAAGGGGTGGATTGAAAAATTACTTAATAATTGATAAATCAAGAAATATACATAACTGGAATAGCCAAAAAAATTATTTTTATTTTGAAAATAATTGAGTATATAATATAAAGGTTGTCCCACGATGTACTAACAAATGCATACGCTTTTCTTATGTAAAATTGTCAGAACATTGTGAGACACTCTATACAGGGTGATTAATTAACTATACCTCACAAATTATCTCTAGAAATATAAGAGTTATCTTTTTTTTTCTTTATGAAATATTATGTTTCTATCTTGGGCTGCTCAATGAGTAAAATTACATTTTTATGATCACCCTTTATGTTTTAAATCATTATCAACTTCAATTTTCAAATGGTAACCCTATTTTTTTTAATTTTATTCAATTATCAGTGGAAGTCAGTATTACTCACGTTGATTTATAAAAGCCGAGCAAATTTTCACTATTGGTACAATACACCAATAGTTTTTATCTGTACACTAAATATTAATGTTACTGTATTTATCAGACTACTGTTTTATTTGTTAAATCACCTAAACTTTAAATAGTGATATCTCGTTTAGAATATATTAATATTGTTCTTTTTATGCTTAACAAAATTAATAAAAAAAAAAACTGGGTTGCTATTTGAAAAAATAAGTGGATATGGAATTGTGGATTAAGGGATGAAGATTTATAACAAATAAAATAATTACATATATGATAACACTAATATTTTTAAAGAAAATTCGTGAGACATAGTTAGTCAATCACCCTGTGTATGTAGCCTTGATTAATAAAAAATATAGGATAATATTTAGAATTTATCCCAAAAAATAAAAGAGCTAGAAAAAAATCTAAGGATAGATTTGAAATTAACGCAAAATAATCGTTCCATTATTAAAAAATTTTTTTTTAAAATAAAATAAAGTAATTATCTTAGAGGGACGGTATTAGTCGGTAACGCGGCAATGCTTGATGTGCACTGCCTTGGGTTCAAAACTCGGTCACGGGCAGCTTAATTTGCCGAACAAGGATTAGTTTTGATGATTGGAGTTGCCATCCCTCTCTCTGGCGACGGAATAACCACCCATCCCAAAGTATCAATGATATAGAAAACTCCTCCTTTGGGGGAGACTTCTACGGCCCTTAAGGGGCATATATAGTGTTTAAAAAAAAAAAAAAGTAATTATAAATTTTATTTTATTGTTAAATTTTTTTTACTGTTTGCCAATAACTAAAAAAAAACTATAACCGGTTTTAAACAGTTTATGTATTCTTTCTTATTTTTTATAAAAACAATAACAGAGAACAGTTATAAAAAATTAGTATCTAATAACATTACAGATTTTAAGTAAAATTCAACTTTTACAGAGACCGATAATTGTTTTTATTTATAATGGTTTCAAACTCTGTTCTATAGATTTGTTGTACTTTTTAAAACCTGTGATACATTTAGGGGACACTTAGAGCTGATGGGTTTAGTTATTTAAACTATTAAGAGAATATCAGTTAGAAATAAATAACATCAAAATTTAAAATTACCTCGTTAGTAAGTTTTTCAATTGGTTCCATTAATTCAAAGTTTTGTAATTGAATTCTTTCTAATGAAGTTAAACATGGATTCATATCTTCAATTTCTTTGTTTTGTTTTTTAAACAAGTCTGACAATTCTATATCTTTATTTTCATAATCATTTTTAATAGCATCAAAATATTTTAAATCTTTTGCATCATCAATATTTTTCAAAAATTCAGCATTGAACTCGTCAATTTGCATTTTAAAGTTAGTGTAGTTATCTTTGATATTTTGAATTTTCTAAAACATTAATTAAAAAAATTATTGTTTATTATAATATATATTATAAACAATAATTTCAATGTACTAGTGATGTTAGGAATACTAATTTTAGAGATTGAACCAAATTTTTAATTTTTCAATCATATCTTAACTGAACCAAACATTTAGGGAACAAAAACCAAAAATTAATTTGATTCATTTTTAGACAAAACATTTTTATAACATTTAACAAAATTAGCATGTTATTTGATTTTCTTACATTAAAATATACATTTTTTGTTTTTATGTTACCTGCAGTGATTTATATTTTTCATCTTTCATTAACTGGTAGCATTTTTTAATGTGATTCATATATAAAGTTTCAATAGATTTATTCCAGTTTTCTTGAGTGGTAAATCGATATTTTATTTCATTTAATATGTCATTCATACTTTTGTTATGTAATTTCGTCTAAAAAAAATATTAAAATTATAATTATTTTAAACATTAGAATTCTTTAATTATTAATAACACATAAAGCAAATAAAATAAACTCACTTTGTAGTAACAAGAAATTAGCTAGGAGTTATTTTGTTAAAATAAATGTAATCTATGTAGGGTGAAAAATTGAAGATATGTTATAAACACTACTAAATATGTCCAAATAATAAAAACGCTGGCTCTTAAATAAATTATGATTCACAAGTTATTTTGGATATAATTTAAAGACTTGAAATCAATATGTACCAAAAAATTAAAAATCGAGTCAGTACTAAAAAAATTCTAAGAGCCAAGCCTAATGAAATATAAAATGGGTCAGTACTTTAGAATGGGAAGTAGGAAATAAAAGAAATAGTTATATCCATAACTTATAAGCTAATATGAGTTTTACATTTTTCTTTAGAATTTTAAAAAATGATGAATTACTTAAAATAATTTTTTAGCACATAAGATGTTATTTCAAGTCCTTATTTAAAAGCTTGAAGTAAATAAGGAGCTAAGTGCACATTGATTTATTTATAGTAAAAACTCAATTTTAATTAAATTTTGAATAACTTTTAGCTCTCTATTTACTTCTTCAAGCCTTTATTTATTTCATGGCTTTATTCATTATTAAAACATAACATTAATTTTTCAATAAATGTAAAAATAGGTTATAAAAGTGATGCCATACCAAACCAACTATGCTGTATGATTCTAGCCATTAAATCAATTTAGTGCAAACTATAATTAAATAACAGATTCTAAAAACTTTTAAGATTAATGAAACAAAATACTTATTTTATGATTTTATTTATTTTTCCATTTACCATTTTTTAAAAAGGTTATTATTTTTCCTTGTTTTGTATTTTTAATTTAACAATAATAATTTTCTTTTTATATTTATCATCATAAAAAAAAATAATTTTTTGAAGTATGTAGTTTGCAAAAAATGTTTAAAATATAAAATATACTTGGTATTTTCTAAAATTCAATAAGGATCTGTTGGTTTACCAGTATCATGTACAAAGGGACATTTAAAACTGTTATTTAAATTCTATTTAATAATAAAATATTGATGACTAATATATATTAATTCTATTTATTGATTGTTAGCAGTTTAATTGGTGCTTGTAATACATTTATCAACATTTAAATTTTTTATCTGAAAAAAACATAACAATAGATAGTCACATAAAATAACATTTTCAATTTTTCTAAAAAAATTGTATTTACACCATTTTGTAAACAATCAATATGATTAAGGAATACTAATTATTATAAAATACACTTAATTTCATTCTTAAAAGCTAAAAAACATTATGTATTAACCTCAGAAATATGTTTAATAATTGAATCATGATATGTATCTATTGAAGTAACAACATGGCAAATGGTTTGTGATTTTTCTACTAATTTGGACTCAAGATCATTCAATTTTTCTGACAATATTTTTATTTCTTGACCAATGGTACTACTTTTAGTTTCACTACATTTTAAAATATTGATAATCTAAACAAATATACAAAATGAGTTTAATTAAATAATAAAATATTGTAGTAACAAAAACAATGAAATAAAAATAAATAAATAATAATAAGTGAATAATTTTACTTGTTCTCTGGTTTGTAAACATTCATTAATAGTTATGTCATTAAAACTGCTCAAGTTATTTAAAACAGTTTTAAAATTGTTAGATAAAGAATTATATTTGTGATACATTTCATCTAAGAAACAAAAGAGTAAACACAACAAATAAAATATAAATTAAAAAATTATTTAGGTATTACTCACCATTCAGTTTATTTTGATTGTCCAAATATTCTCTATTTTTACTTTCAAATAGAGATAAGGTATTAGAAAAGGACACATTAGTTTCTGAAACTCGATGTCTAAGCATTTCAATTGCTGATTCATTAGATTTTTCAACATCGCTAAATCATTTAATTGTGTAAACTTTAATTTAATTTTTTTTAAATTAAATTTTAGAATGATACTTACGTAGTTCGTTCAATTTTATCGTGCAATAATTTCATATCATTTTCATAAACTTCTGCTAAAGTTCTTAAATTATTCGCTTCTTTGTCAAGTTTTACTATAAGACTGTCTCTTCTATCTCGTTCATCCATAGTTTTAATTAAATCCACTTTTAATTCTCTCATAATTTCCTTAACATTATTATAGTTTATAAGAAAAATCATAATATTAAAATGTTTAAGCTTTATCCTTAAAAAACGACTATGAGAATATTATATCATAACTTATTTAATCCATTATTCAAATAAACAATCAACAATTTATTAATAGAGGAGCTAATAATCTTTATTTTAATATACTTTTTATTTTGTGAGTTTATTAATTTCACTTCATTAATTTATTAGAAATTTTTTTTAATTGTTATTTTATAAAAAAAAATAATTTTGTATAAGTTTACATTCGAAGGGATGATTTTTTTAAAAAAAATAATAACATGACTTGAGCTCTTAGGTATGAAATATTTCAATTTGTATTTAAAAATATTGTCCTCTTTGAAAAAAGTTATTTACTTCTTTTTTATTTAACTCTTCATTTACAGCTCTTATTGTTGCAATTTTTTCACAAATATCTGCTTCATTTTTTTCCAACCTTAAAATCATATCGTTGTAGTTTTCTTCTGCAACATATACACCATTTTTGTCGCGTGTGGCACATAAATCTCGTTTGAGTTTTTCTATTTCATCTGTATATTCCTACAAAAAAAAGAATGTATACACTATAGATCATGACTATTACTACATATTTTCACATTGTTATTGAAAGTTTTATGTATTAAACATTATCTCTAATATCTTAATGAATTAAAAAAAATTGTAATACTTTGATCAGAGCTTTTTTAGTGAACTTTTGGTTGACTTCAGGTTTATTTTTTATGCTTTTAGCTCTAGATGCATAATCTAGAGTGCTTAAAGTTTCCTCAACATTAAAATGTGATGGAGATACAGTCGCAATAATTGAAGTTTTTGTTTTTCCTCCTAATGAGTCTTGCAATAAACGTGTAAGTTTTGATTCTCTGGATATATTTATGGATTGATAAAATTTAATATAAAAAAAAAAAAAAAATTCAATAAAAAGAAAAATAAACCTGTAAGGAACATGTGGAGTTTGTTCTACAAGAGATGTGATACAACGTCCAAGTGTTAATAATGATTTATTTATATTTCCTGCCTCACATGCACGTCTATCAATAGCACCTGATCGTCCAATATTTTCACTGCCAGCCAAGTCAACTAGATTTAATTTTCCAACTCTTACTATATCTTCACTCTCAATTGTTGATTCTTTAATATGTATAGTTATGGTAAAAATTGTATGAGAACGACTAAAAATAGACATAATGTTCATTTTTTTTCAAAATGATTGGACATTTCTTAATATACATTATTATAATTAGTTAGTTGTTAGAGAAGTGGATAAGAGCTGTCTATGCATTCAAATATTGGTTCCATTGTGCACAGTTTATATAATTAAGTTGCATAAAAAATGATATTATTACATTTATTGTACAATTTTCATATATAATTTATTATTAGTGAGCAGGTGTATAAGTAATTGCATAATTTAATAGTGATAATGTTTCAAATAATTTTTAATATTCTAAACAATTAACAAAAAAAAAAAAAAAAAATTAATAATAATAATTAAGATAGTTAAAAAATTTTCAAAATTGACACGTACTCCATTCATAAGTTTTAAGGTAAAAATAATTTTAAATCATTGTTTAATTTTAGGTTTTATCACTTTTAAATCCTTAGAAAATGTTCATACAAATTGCTAGAAATTGTTCATGCATCACACCAAAATTACAAATTTTACCATTATGTAGCAAAAAATAAGGAAGATATCGTAAGTCTTGTAAAAATTAAGAAACTTTTCTTTTTAATATAACTATTTTCCAAGAAATTCTGTTATACAGATAAAATTATTTTTATCAAAAATTTAACAAAAAACTTTGGAAAACACCAAATTCACTTAGGAAAAAAATTTTTATGGCCTTCCGTGGGAAATACTATTTCTAATAACTATAAAATCTTATATATATTTTTGCTTTTACCTTGATTGAGCATTCATTAATGTAGCTGCTGTTTGGCGTCTTTTAGATCCTTTTTCAAGTAACTTGTAAACTTCATCTTTATTACCAACAATAACTTCCTCTAATCCACGAACAATAACTGAGCCTTTTTTTTCTTCAAATATTCTAAAATATATATACATATATATATTTAACAGTTAGTTCTGTTCCACCTATATACATATACACATGTTCAGTAAGTATGAAACAGGTCAGTGATTACAAACAATGAGAACAATAGAAACCCGTTTCCTAACTTACTGAACACCTATATAACTTTATAATATATACTGTAAAAAATATCTTTTTTCTTAGTTTTTTGTTATGATACTGCAAACACATTTTTTTTTTAGATAAAACATATTAGTTGTCCAATAACAATATGTATATGAATTATAGGAATAAATTGTTAATAAATTCATAGTTAACTTCTTTTTATTAAAATTTTTACCTTAATGATTTATTAGTTGGATCTTCAGAAGTGGAAAGAAGATCAAAAATCTCTTCATTATAAAGTTCTAAAAATGATGCTCTTACTGTATGTTCAACTTGTAAAAGTCTTAGTTCATCAAACATATGACTCAATGCACGTGGAATTATACCAGAAACTGGATCCTGCAGGAAAATAAACATTTAAAGATAAAATAACAATTAATTTGTATATAGATATATTTTATATTCTGTTGTGCTGAGCTATGTAGGTTTTCCTGTTTGCTCTGTCAATAAAAGCAATAGCTTTTAAAGATGACGTTAAACACGATTAAAAATTATTAATGTTAATATTGATATATAAAATTGAATCTATCATGGTATGAATGTATTTTAAAGATATTAAATCTTTATGTCTAGTTTAATATTTTGTTACTATAAAAACCTTATTCCAAGATATAGATGATTGTCCATTTAATCTTTCTCCTTCCATGGTAAATGTTTTTCCAGTTCCTGTTTGACCATATGCAAAAACTGTACAATTATACCCATCTAAAACTTCTTTAATTAGAGGATAAACCACACAATTATATACATCAACCTATAATAAATATTTATATTCATTTAAAATAAATTTTTATTAACATTATTAGACTAAACAATAGATTACTTGTTTAGAATTTTGCCCAAAAACTTTATCAAAATGAAACGTTTTTGTTCTACGATCAGACAATATTGTTTTTTCTGTTACAACTACTTCTTTTCCATTTTGAGAAACTTCCACAACAGGAAGACCTTTACTTTTATCAACATCGGTCATAGGCCTAAATATAACAGTATATTCATATTAAAAATTCAATATTTGGTACAATTACTCAAAAATGAATTAGGCATATACACATTAAGCAACAATATTAAATTAAAACCTCTAAAGAATAATTCAAATGATCAAATATATAACTACTGGCCAAAATAATATTAATATTGAAATACCTGACTCTAACGAAAACTTCAATAGGTTTTTCAGGAGATGAATTTTTCTTTTGAATAAAATTATCAGCCATTTTTTTGTTTTTTAATAACTATATAAGCAGTTATATATAACTTTCAATTCAATATTATGATAAATATATAGAAATATAATTGTTATGAATTTAAGAATAAATAACGCACTGTAATTAAATAAAGAAATAAAAGTTATTAACTTTTATGATTTTCAACATGACGAATAACAGGTAACGATAATTAGCAACCGTTAAAACTTGAAATTTCAGAACTAATAAATGTTAACCAATGGCTTTAGATATTTTTGATGAATAGAGCGCTCTAACGGATAAGTTTCAGTGATTTAACCTGTTGGTTATTATCAAGCACAAATACAAATACGCTTCCTGGTGGTGATAGCGTTTTATCATAGAATAATGAAAATATAGTTTCCATTAAAGCATGGGCAAAATAATATAATCATCGACATTTCATTTATCACTTACTCTGATAAATTTTACCTGATAAAACGATCAAAAATATAATTTATTTATGTATATCCATTAGCGTAGTTTGCATGTGGACTTCAACCCTAATAAAAACATTTGTAGCCCAGGGCTTAGGTGGATAAAATACTCAAGGGACTCAATAAACAGTTATACTTGGTTTTGGGTGGATTTATGAGATGGCATTAAAGGTATCAATTTGAATACCTCCCAATGGCGTAGCCTAAATTTTATTTGGGGCTTAAGACCTCTTTCATTGCTTATCATATACCAAATGTTAACTCATCCCAATTAAAATCATATACTCCTTATAGTAATAATTGGTCAAGGAGGTGCTAGAATCCCATTTGAAACGTCACTATCGCCTTCAATTACTTATTTTTTATAAATTTATACTTAGTGCATTCATAAGTATGTTTCACAAAGTATCAAAATTAAATTTTAATGCATTAAAAATCTATATACAACCTATAATACATGGAGCGTGAAACGTAAAAAATTGTTTAACGTAAATTTTGATAAATCAGTTGAAGTAACAACAGATTCTTGAATACTGATTACACATTATAAAACAACATTTTGTTACCAGATGTAACCGCAATTTATTTCTGTTTATATTATGAGTTGATTAATAAGTTAGTATAAGGTAAATGTTATGTATATTGAATAGTTACTATTACTATGGTTTACTTTTACACAGCCAATTTTAAAAATTAATTTCACTAAATATTATGGATAATATTGATAAAAAATTGAGCGTTTCAAGGGACTTTGAAATATTCTAAAAGGGTTTTCAAGTAATTTTATATGCAGGAGGACTAATTTCTTTAGCGTCTCCCCACTTTAATCTCGCCGTTGCCCTGCAAATTAATTGAATATTTTATATGAAGGAGGAAATAAAGCAATGTAGTAGAGAAGCTTTTTATCTAAACTTATGAAATAGAAAATGGGACTATAGAAGAATTTTTCAAATTACATCAATGGATATATCAAATTTATATCAATAAAAACAATTTATATTAAAACTCAACAATTTTTATTAAAATATATTTAACATTTTACATACAACATACTGCAATCTAGTAATGTTAAATTCAGGGTTGTTAAAAACATAACAACAGTTTAAAATATCTCATATTATGATTTTAGGAAAAATTTAGTAATTTATGATAAATCAATTACTCTGTATGCTTTCTCTATTATGAGACTATCAATGTAAGTATGACTTACCCAATTGATTAAAATATTAAATTGATATTGATAGAATGCTTTGTACAGTGGGGTACTTATGCAATAGATATTACTGTGGGAATAGGGCAGGCAGGACCTAAAATTTTTAACTCTAATTGTAAAAGTAAAATGATTTTAATATAGTGCTATTAGATAGTACTGAAGTAAATTTTTCTTACGATTTAGTCACTAATAGAAAATATATCAAGTTAAGAGCTTTTATTATCATTTTATTTTTTTTTAAATAAATAAAAAATTCAAAAGAATTTAAAAATTAAAAGTATTTATAAAAGAGTAACATAAATATACTGCCAGTCGTTGTACTTCTTATGTGATAAACAATTGGTGTCTTTGAAAATCAATAAACTAATAAAATGTAAAATGAACTCTTGTTAATCATTACAGAAGCGTTGATGTACAAAATAGATAAGATCTATTATTCTTATCTTTTCTATTGTTTAATTATCTAATATGTTCACAAAGTTTCTAGTAGAAACTGATCTATGAATTTTGTACGTGACCTTTTGTCTTTTAGGTATTAAGATTCACTTATTTTTTGTTTCTTAGAATGTAATTTGTAATGTTATAGTAATTTTAATTAATATAAAAGACTATGAACTAAATATTTGTAGAAAAGTTCAATAGAATTATAATTTTAATTATTAATGTGTATGTCTAAATTAACATTATTTAAATTGATGTAGTTCAAAATCATCTGAAATATGGAATATTTTTCAAAAAAGATTCTATGTGATAAATCACAGTCCTGGCAACACAAAACATATTTTTTTGGAGATTTAATTACTTTATCACTATTAATAGTTAGAAGTATGCATAGGTACATCGATTACATAATTTATATTTTTCATTTCTACATTATGTTTGGGTAGATATATATTAAGATTTTGTGTAAATTAAGTGAACTTGACAATATTTCTCTAGAAAAAAAATATTAATTATTTTTGTATTATTAGGTTTTAACTATTGAACTGCTATTAAGCTATTGTGATCATGCGGTGTTTAATGGTTTTTGATAATTTAAATGATATAGTTTTTATGAAATGTGATACAAAATTCTGTCTCCACATAAAGAAGTTGGCAGTTTTACAAAATATTATTAAACTAAACGCGGTACACTATAAAGCATTTTTTTAAACAATTATTCTAGTTACAAAGTCCTTTTTATATTTTAATATTCATTTCAGTCTGATTTAGAAAATGATTCAGAAATTGATCCAGATTTGATTCTTCAAATATTTTCTCCTATGGTTACATCTCAAAGAGTGATGAACTGTCATTTTTCAAATCGCTATAGTTCAATGCAATGTCAGAATGGAACTAATATTGTGTTTGATGAGGTTTATATTGTTAAAATGAAAAAACAAGTTGTTAATTAGTAAGAATTTTTTTCTTTAGTACTTAGGTCATTTATTTGTCTATATTGGAGATATGGAAGTGGATTGGCAACAAAAAGTTCTTAGTACAGTAATTTTATTCATCAAAAGAATTTGTGGTGCAGATGTATCCTTGTTAGTATAAATGATCATAAATGTATTTATTAAAAATTAATCTTAAATTACATGAATATTTAGAAATAAAATGAAATACTAAATTTTTGTTTACCAAATTTAAAAAAAATTTATTTTAATTTTTGTATAGAAATTGATAAAAATATTAATTTAATAAAATATTTATTTGTACATTTGATATATTTGACGATAATGTATCCTAATATTTTATAATTCCAATCTTATATAAGTTTATTAAATAAACTTTGATAAAATTTGAAAGATAAAATGTTTATGTTGACAGTTGATAAATTTTTGACACTATTGTTTTATTAGATTGAAATATAGTCGTCGACGTAGATTTTTAGTATCTAAATTATTGGATGTGTGGTTGAAACAGTCTAATGAAGAACAATGCATTTTAGTTGAAGCTATTGAACAGTTAACAGTTGGTAAAGAGCTATCTTCAGCTGCATTATCTGCTGCCAAAGCTGCAGCAGAAAAAATTAAAATTAAATCAGCATTTTCTCGTGTACATACTCTTATTATGGTTGGACAAAAGTTTTTAACTTTATATTCTAGGTAAATAACTTTATCATTAATTTTATAGTTTTTAGATGAGAATATTTTTGTAAATTATTTTATTATTTTTGAATTTATATATTAGTCGAAATGCTAGTGATTTATCTGCTGGAGATACATTATTTTTAGCTTTATTAGCTGAAGCTTTACAATTGTCTGACCCAGAATCCAATGACAAAACTGATCTTGATGTAATAATGATTGAAAAAGACCACCTTTCTTTAAAAGAAAAAAGTATTAATCAATATTTAAATATTATTATTAAATAATTTAAAAAAAAACCTAATTTTATTGTTTTAGTGTCTAACCAGAAAGTCAATAATTTGTTAGTTCTTTTAGGACAAAATAAGTTAAAATTAAATGCAGTCTATATATCTTATATTACAAATGGAGTTCCATTAATTATTATTCACGAAGTAATATGATTATTTAATTATTTTTCTTTAAAATAATAGTTATTTGTATTGTTTAGATAGGAAATGAAGTTTTCAATAGTAGTGTCATTGATTCACTTACATCATTTTGTAAAATTCAAGATATACAAAGTCGTGGTATTATAGATCATGAAGCTCTTAAAGTATCTTTTGATTTAATTGATATGTCTATGAAGAAAATTATCGAATTATTTAAAAAGAAAAATGCTCCTTTTGCACCTTCCCGTAGTGTTACAACTATTATAACTTATTTAACCAATAGATGGGAACCGTTAAAAAAGTTTGTTACTATTTTTAATTAATATGTTTGATGAATTAATTATTATATGACGTTTAAAAATTTTTTAAAGGAAATACATTGAATTCATGAAAAATAATGAAAGTGTTGCATTAAATGCTATTGAGTCTAGTAATATTAATATAATATCAAGTTTAAAAGATCTTCAACATCATTGTATGCTTAATGAGTCGTTAATAGATAATTATACAAAAGAAGCAGTTAATGAAGCTTCAGCGTTGGTTGCCACAATGTTGAGAGATTATACTTCATTTTTTGAAGTAAAAGCTCTTAATAATTTTACAATGAGATCATATCCTTTTTAAAGTTTGCTGATTTTTTAATTTTTTAGTTTCTTATTAAAATCAGTGCTGTTGCTTGGAAAAACCATTGAAGTTTATGGGTCTCTATATCTTTTTATGATTTTTTAAATAGTAAACCATAAAAATTAAACTTTAAATAAGATCAAGACAATTAATTTGTTTAAATATAGTACCCTTGATAAATGAAGTAGCTAATTATATACTTAATCTGAAGTTCTTCCCTAAAAATTATTATTCATAATTCCTTGTTCATCAATTATGACTACCTTTAGTCATGATTAAAATTTTATTTTAATCATGATTTTATAATTAATGATTGTTTATAAATGGTTTCTTTAACTGAAATTTAAATACAAGATCATTTTTGAATATAAATAAATATTTAGAAGAATTTCCAGGTCTTGTACATTTTATTTACATTGATCGGATGACACACCGAATGATTGCTCCTGGGTTAGAATTTGCATCCCAAGAAACTCTTGAGCTTACAAAAAATAAAGTAATTATTTAAATAGAATAAATAGTTAAATTATATCTTAAAGAGTAACACATAAATTATGGATTTACCAACAAAATTTATTAATACATATACTAATTTATAAATAAAATGGTGTTCGGACAATGTAGGTATTTATACTTACGAAATATTCTACTGAATGATACAACTTACTTGGGATAGAGATATAGGTAGCATAATATATTATACAAAAAAACATAATGACATAAAATTAACCTGAAGACACTATGAGTTCTTATCTAACAAAAGTATAATGGTTAAAGTATTACATTGTAATAAAATAAATAACAAATTATTGATAAAATTTTAAACAATGTCTATTATATTAATATATTGATGTTTTATACTTAATATTATTATTACTTATAATTAAGAATAATTATTATGGGTAAATTTATTTTTAAAATATGTTCACAGGAACAATAGGATAGTGGCATCAGTAATTGGCAGTTTTCCAGTTTTAGGCAATTTTCAAATTTGAAATGTTTATAGTCTCTTTTATGGTTTTAAGTCCTAGAGTTTATTTAAAATAAAGAAAATACCAATTTATGATGTATCAAACATGATTGCTAAAAACTGGTTAGTGTGCCAATGACTTGTGCCTTTACCCTATTTTGCATGTTTCTTTTAAAATATGATATCAATGTAAAAATTTCTTAAATATTTTAATTAATTATAATTAATGTGAATTTTTATATAAATGGGTCAAAAATATGAAAAATCATGCCACCTTTTATTATAATTTTAATTATTTAATTATTTTGAAGAATAATTTTTCTACTATAAATCTGTCATAATTTATTTTATTTTAGCTTTATTGTTAACCTAATTTCAGGCTACCTGTAACATCTAATTTCTTAATTATCAATAAGGTGTATCACTAATTAGTCAAAAAAGATCTGTAATATTACATTTTTTTTATATTTCAATTTACATGCTTCATCTCATTGAATACTGTTTTGTAAACTTAAAATTACTACTTTATTTATATTCTTATGTATTGTAATTAATTTTTTAACACAAATAAATGTTTCGTTAAAATTACATTAAATTTAATTGTTTAGGTTTGGTCTATGGTTAACTTTAGTAGACATCACTTGCAAAATGGTCATTTCATTGTATTATGGAGGGATATTACTTTTACATATTCTTATTTTTTATGGTTTGAAGATCAGTCAGTAAGTTTTACTATCTTATTTTATAACTTATAAAATCTGTCTGTTAGTTTGTAAAAATACAACATTACTCAAATAAAACAATTTTCTGTAAAAAATCATTTTTAGGGTACTTCATTAAAACCAAAAAGTGACTCAGCTACTTTAGAACTTTTTCCTGGAATATTATCTGATGATTACTATGAGTAAGTATTTTAGTAGTGATATATATGATTAAATTCACAAATGATAAGTTCTATTACTTTTTTTATTTTTGGAGAAACTTACTAATAATTTGTTTTCATTATATTAGTAGGTTACTTAAAACTTTATTGGTAAATGTATATAATAAAATAATACAAAAGTTCTATATTTTTGTAGAAAACTTGTTGAATTATGCTTTCCTAGGATGCCTCAAGGAAAAGTGAGATGTTTTGAATTATTTTGTGTTCATTTAGGCTTAGCAACAGCTTCTTGTGTCTTAGAACATTCTCGTAGATTGTCAGCAACTGTCTGGGAAGTTACTGGACGACCTAGTAATCTATTGGATTTGTTTTAAATTATTAATATATTAAATAAAAAAATTAAGTCTTATGTTATGATCTCTCTATATATATAAAAACTATTAGATCAAATTAAATTTATAGTTAAATTATTATTATTTTTTTACTATTTATTTGTCAAATATAACTAATTTAATATTTGGAATTTTATTATATTAGATCATAAGTTGTGTGTATTATGCTATATAATTTGAATTTTGTAAATTATATTAATGGTGTTAAAATTTTAATTACTAATTTTTTAATTATTTTTTTATTGTTTTTTAAATATTTTAATATTATTAAACATGTCTCAGTTGCCTAATAGTTTTAATGCTGGAATTGTTATAAATGACTTTTTGGGTGTTACTATAAAATATTTAATTATTTCAGTATTTTTTCACATAATTTGAAATATGCTTATTTCAAATTTTTATATATACATATATTAGAGCGACAAGAATTTTACGAGTTTTTAAATTAAAAGTACAAATTTAATTGGTTTTATTTCTGGAAAATCATTTATTGTCTTTAATAACTTAACAAATATTATGTATAAAAAAATGCTCGGAATAAAAAAGGAAAATAGAATTATATCTGATGAAAATTCCTTCAGAACGTTTTACATAAAAGTAACAAAATATACTACTTCATAATTTTTAACTATTTCTTCGTAAAAATTACAATAATAAATAATTGAAAATCAATTTCATACTATATTTAATTGCTATAATAAATATTTATTCATAAATTATACTTATAAACCTAAAAACTACTAATGAAGATGTAATTTAGGAAATAAGATTTGATGTTGCTTTTGTTATTGCGCATCAATACCTTAGAATTAAACATTACAGATTTGCATCGAAGCGTTTCTTATGATAATGATTTTAATCAATCTGAGATATCGTTTATAATTATCTCAACTATTCTATGTCTATACTGTGCCGTGAAATTTATTTTGGTTGCCACGTAGATCTTGCATTGTGCGATGTATTGCTTCAAGTGATTTTTTATGCGTCATCGTACATTCATCCAATAAAATAATTGCTGTTTGATGCAAAACTTTCGCCATCGCAAAATTTCTTGATATATTGCACGTGGGATTCTCAATCACCTGTAGTACATTAAAAATAATTACATCTCAATTATTGCAAATGCATTTCAAGCCAATCGATGAATAAATACAAACAAACCTGCACATTTAACGGTAATTTTAATACAGAGTGTGCTCTTCGTCAGCCATCCAACAAAATAGCAGCTATTCCAGACGAAGCAAGTGCCAATACAATTTTCCCTTGCGCTCGAATGTTTACCGAAATGAGTGATATTACAAATGTTTTACCTGTACCACCGGGCGCATCCAAAAAGTACAATCCGTCGGCTTCATTTTGTACAGCTTGCATGATGGTATCGTAGACATTTTTTTTTGATGGTCATTTAATTTGGGAACATTTAAATTCACAAATGTTTGCTATTCATTGATATCATACTGTTGTTCTCGTCGCAATTCTCGATCGAACAAATCATGCATTGTCCCAATGCTTTATTGGCGATCGTAAGGCACATATCTTCAATCGCTATTAATGCCTCATTATACATTTCTAATGTTATAATCAAATCAGAGATTCCAGTGTGATGGCGCATTCGAATAAAAAAATCTTTTGCCATAAAATCTCGATATTTATTCCATAATTCAATTGGATTCGATGGGAAACTTGTTGATATTATTATGGCATACAGCATACGTATTTGATGTGGAGATGAAGCGATCGATGCATCATGAAGTGATGAATCCCATAATTTTCCAGTAAACCCAAATGCTCGAACGCTTCACGATACGTCGCGCATAAATGACCATTAACTGTTCGCAAATCTTCAAATGAACGCGGCTCCACAACATTCACGAACAACAGCCGCAAATAATAACATTCTACCATATTTGTATGAACTGTGTATAGTCTTCCTATAGTTTCTGCATAGAAAAGACCCTGTTGGCCATCAACTGCTGTTCCCTGTTCACGCCGTTGCTATGTTTTTTGCGCATTCCAAGTGTAATAATGCATTACATCTGAATACAGCAAAGTTCTCGCAAATTCATCACTTGCACACAATTGAAAAAATGCGGTTAATGCTGTTGCTGGTGAACGTGCCGCTCTCTCTTGAACATTTTCATTGGTAAAATATACACGTTGCCCATTTTAACACGCTTATATTAGTTTCACATGTATGTTGTAAGTTTGTAACTCCACGCGGCACGTGTTATTATGTCGCGTATGCCGTCGTCTATGACCTTGGGACTAGACCGTCGTAACGCATTCACCCCACCCCGCTCACCAGTCGGCGCCTACACTATATTTTTAACACGCTTATATTAGTTTCACCTGTATGTATGTATGTATGTATGTATGTATGTATGTAACTCTCCAAACGCCACGCGTTATCGCATATTCCGTCGTCTAGACTAGACTGTCATAACGCATTCACCCCACCCCANTTGCCGACTGGTGAGCGGGGTGGGGTGAATGCGTTACGACGGTCTAGTCTCAAAGTCATAGACGACGGGATACGCGACATAATAACACGTGCCGCGTGGAGTTACAAACTTACAACATACAAACAACATACATGTGAAACTAATAAAANCTACTATCATAACATGAAACTAAAAAGTAAAAAATAAATATAGTTTAAAAAACTAAAAAAACACGCTTTTAAAGCACATCGAACTAAAAAGTTAAAAATAATTTTTAAAATAATTATGAACAAAAAATACTAGTTTTATTGTGATAAAAGCGTGGGTGGTTTGTGTCATATTTTTCGTATATTGAGCGCCCAACGCTTTTATCACAATAAAACTAGTATTTTTTGTTCATAATTATTTTAAAAATTATTTTTAACTTTTTAGTTCGATGTGCTTTAAAAGCGTGTTTTTTTAGTTTTTTAAACTATATTTATTCTGTATAATTTTTCAGTATAATTTTATTTTTGGTTTTCGTACCCGTATACACGTGCGTATCATGAATTATATATATATATATAACAAATTTTTATTGTGACTGACACAACCCCGCGTCGCTTCATTATACACGATGCCCCCCAACTCTACCACTATTATCAGCCGTCGCCCTATTATATGAGTATTTGACTGACCAACATCTCGCGTTATACGCCGTGGTGCAAAGTCCAGCAAGTGCCGCACAGCCGACGACGTCCTGCCGCTAATGATACCGTAGTCTTCTTCTCATTGTCAAAGTGACAACGTCAACAAACCGATCCGTACTCGCGCACCGTCGTCATCTACGCTGCTAACCTTTTGACGCCCGAGGATCACGCCGGACATCGCGTCGTCGACGCCAGCGAAAGTGCCGAGATATTATGCGAAGATTATATATTCTTACCATCGCCGCTAATATTAATATATATATACATATATATATTATTATTTATATATACGTATATGTTAATATTCATTTATATATCCCTACAGCCGACGCCGCTGCCGCCATATATGCCTCGCGCCCCGCCCGCCAACAAAACACAGCTATACCTCGTGCATGATACGTTTACGTACTTAAGTCGCTTTACATGTATATATATATATATTTTAATTACTATTAAAACTTATATATTAATACGCTTTATTCTCATTAAGAGATATATAGGGTATTTATTCCGATTACAAAGGATGATTCCCGTATCGTCATTTTACGTCACTACCTCCACGTTGCGCGCCTGCTGCTTTCCTTGGATGTGGTAGCCGTTTCTCAGACTCCCTCTCCGGAATCGAACCCTGATTCCCCTTTACCCGTTACAACCATGATATTGATAGTAACTACTATCATAACATGTAACTAAAAAGTGAAAAATAAATATAGTTTAAAAAAACTAAAAAACACGCTTTTAAAGAACATCGAACTAAAAAGTTAAAAATAATTTTTAAAATAAGCGTAAAACAATAATGAACGAAAAGTACTAGTATTATTGTGATAAAAGCGTGGGTGCTTTGTGCTATATTTTTCGTATATTGAGCGCCCGACGCTTTTATCACAATAATACTAGTACTTTTCGTACATTATTGTTGTAAGCTTATTATAAAAATTATTTTTAACTTTTTAGTTCGATGTGCTTTAAAAGCGTGTTTTTTAGTTTTTTTAAACTATATTTATTTAAGATGAACTGCAAAATGAACAACAGCTGGTAACCGTTCATGCATCGGATATGAATAAATTCTACAAAGAGCCTCATTAGTGCTGATGTAGCGTCCCATTTGATATTGAGCAATTTCATCATGACTATTGTCAACAGCTATTCCGAAAACAGCCATTTCACTGCCTTTGTTGACATACTTACAAATGTATTTGATCGATTTGTCCGAATTGCAATACTCAATGTTAATGTGTGCCTTTAATATTTCCGACAGTAGTGGTGAGTATGGAACTACCCAATGATTATCAACTTCGATGTCTTGATTTTGCATTCTTATCGTTATCGTATGGCCATTATCTTCCGTAAACCATTCGGTACAACGGATATCCATCATCACCTGTTATTGTGTCAGAAGTCAATGCTCTTGGGTACCGTTTGAACATTTTCCATCGATTATGCATGGAGAATTCTAATTGAGTGCACCGCAAGGACCGTGGATCATATTCTTCTTGACAACTTTAAATAATTCTGGATCAGCAATTTCATCTGGAATCTCAGCTGATATAATGCTATCAATTTGATCCGGTGTTATTTTACGTACCAGCCATATCAATATGTGTGCATGCGGCAGCCCTCTCTTTTGCCATTCGATCGAGTACATCCAGCAACGCACCTCTCCAAATACTCGCAATTTGATAATCAAATCCATCAGCGCTTTAATTCAATTTCTTTCGAAATACATGTGCTGTTGTATCGTGGTGTTGTATGTTGGTGTCTGACTTTCAAACAAATTGGTTTTTATGTCATCCCACTGTGGATTGCATGTGAATGTTATGAAGAGGTCAGGACGGCCTTATTTGCGAACGTACGACATTACATCTTGTGTATATTCATGCATGTGACGCGGACAACCTCAATGAGGTACCCTAAAAAACCATGGGGTCACCTCAGTGAGGTTCCGCCACCTCTTTCATGCCACCTCCCTTATCAATAACAGATAAGAAAAATTATATGTATAGGATGGTGTTATATGTTGTTTATTAGTGAAGTAATTTTGATAACAGATTATGGTAAACTCTTATCATTTATTATTTGGAGGTTAAGTCCTCCAGAGTGATCGTTTTAACTATTAAAAGCTATTAAATAAAATAATAACACAATCTATCA